GTTCTATACGTTCGGGTGACCGAGTAGCCTTCGTGGATCCTCGAGAATAAATATATCTGAGCCTAGTCCCATACGAGTGCTTGCGGTCCCCCTCATCTGAATCTTCTTTTTGTTTTATCGAAGTTTTGGGACATGACACTCGTGTTACTTTTCCTTTCTTTTAGAATTTTCCTGGGATTTTTGAAGGGTTTCTTTTACTTGAGTCTTTTTTTTGTTGATTTTCTCGAGTTTCTCCGCTTTTCCTCGGGTTTCCTGGACGACGTTTCTTTCGGAATTCGCTTTTTTGAAATACATTTAGGTTTGCTATATTTAAGGAACAGCGGATCTCACGGGCGTGCAGGTTTTGCTTTACATTTTACAGCACTTAATTTTCCTGTTTCAACCTGCTACTGCTCTTCTTATACAGCATGTTATACCATTTTTGTTTCTACCTGCTACTGCTCTTCTTATACAGCATGTTATACCATTTTTGTTTCTACCTGCTACTGCTCTTCTTATACAGCATGTTATACCATTTCTGTTTCTACCTACTACCGTTCTTCATGTATAGCATGTTATACTGCTCCTGTTTTGCCTACTACTGTTCCACGTGGATTATATTGTTTGTTCCTGCGTTGCACACTTTATATTATATAACTTCAAGCATATTTTCTTTTTGTATAGGATGTTTAGAGGCTCGTCATGTCGGGGAGCTTGGAGCTAGCGCGGTGGGCAGCATGGCCATCTTCAACAACATAACACGTCTTCCCCAGCAAACCCATCCATTTTCCTAGAAATTAAACAACAATCCATAGGATTTTGAGGTTGTTTGCCTATCACAACATAAATCCTTACCTTTTCTTTAGGCATTCGCATAGCTCTACTGTACGATTTAAGCCCTAACTCGTTCTAGGTTCCGAGGTTATCGTCCGATACGACATAAACCCTCATATCTTCTAGGCAATTTGTATGACTCTGTCACACAAATATAAGCCCTAATTAAATGAAAATGGCAGGATAAAACACTTTAATAATCTTTTCTTAAAGTTGGAGCCAAATCATAAGATAGACTGGGAAGTCACTGAGGTTCTCCTCAAGATCTGTGGTTTCCCCTAGTTTCTCTTCATTTGGATTCCTTAACAATGTTCCAGATTTGAGCTTTTCCCCCTTCACACCTCTTTGTCCGATTTCGTTGTAAAGTTCTATCCTTTTGACTTCTTTGAAGATGATATTCCCTGATTTTTATCGAGAGTCTTCTTAGGTGACTTCGGTCATTTAAGATGTAATTAACTATAGGGGCTTGCCCTTATAGGAAGCTTTTCCGAACCCAGCTTAAAATAAACCCTATTTAATTATTTGTATTAAATAGGGGAACTTGTCGGCAAATAAAACGGTTTCGCAGACCAAACGGACGTCATATTTTTCTGAGTTTATTTGATCGAGCCTCATCCTCAA